CACTTATTAATCAATATTTAAACTTCAATTGTTAATATTTGTTGTTATTAAATTAAAAATAAAACAATAAAAATGTGTTAAATATACAATTTATTAAACTGCACACGCGAAGAAATGCACAATCGAACATGTCGCTGCAGAATGGGCAAAAATACATAACAAACAACAATAATATAATTATTATAACAATATTACAAACGATGTCCTGTGTCAAGTCCAAAATACGAAACGGACCCAATGTCCCCATCTCGTTACCATTCACTACATGTTAATGAAAAACACAAAAAAAAAGAAAAAATGTTACGACGAAATCAATAAATTAATAAACGGATGACGACAGTGGCGTGTCGAAGAAGGAAGGTGGTTGTAAAATTAATAGTTCCTTTTAATTAATGATTAAAATCGGCGGTTTACTAACTAGGTACATGCTCAGTCTGTTTTAAGACGATAATTTCTTTTTTCTTTATTCTTTACGAGGTTTTCTCTTTCTTGGTATGTCACCTTCTCCACTTTGACCAGGAGGGGGTTGCTATATAAAAAGAAAACATTTTTACACTTTAGATATGCTCAACTACCTCTAATGTCGAATTAACAATTAAATATAAACCCACCTCTACATTAGCAGATTCCTCTCCTTCATCGTCTTCATCTTCATCTTCACTTCCAGAATCTTTTTCTTCGTCTCGTATAGGATGTTTCGATTTTTTGTCTTCTTCACTGCCCTTTTCGTCTTCCTCTTCTTGCTGTTCTTCAGGTACATCTTCAACAGTATCTGGAGTGGCTTCATCTGTTTTTTTCTTTTCTGCCATTCTCTTAAGTTCCTCTTGCTCCTGTTTTATTTAAATACAGAAATCATTAATAAAAAGGGGAAATGTAAAAATTTTTAAAGATTTTTTATAGCTTTTTCCTCATAAATGGATTACTACAAATTAAAAAGAAATAAACAACAAAAATAAAATTTGTTTGGCTTAATTTTTAAAAACGTTTAGTTGGAATTTTGCTAAATCTCACCTGGTTAGGCTTAGATGTGGGTCTACAACAACAGTATAAAACAAAGGCAACAGGAATGCCACAAACAATTATGTAAAGAAGCCACAGTATTGGGTACTCGTTGGTCAACTTGGCTAAACGTTGGATCAAGCTCTCCTACAGGATAATAAAAACAACAAACTAATAAAATCTAGCACTACAAAACTTGATTACAAGCTATAGAGGAAATAAATGTGTCTATAAATGTTTTAAGGTGCCCCAAAAATAACTAGCAAATTCGTCTATGTAGATGAAAATTTTGTTATTTGGTACCTCTTTTACACATGTCCACAGATACCAAATGTAGAGAATGAAAGGAATAGAACAGTAAATAAAATAAGCGCCCCATGATTTTGGTCTATAATTAACGGCCTTTAAAAAACGGCCCCACATTGATTGCTAGTAAAAACAGAATTACTTTGTAAATAAGATGTAACATTACTGCATGAATTTTGTGTATAAAATGTAATGTGTATATTATTTATTAGTAGTTCAATAAATTTCAAATATTGACACTTTAAAAGTTTAAAATCTCCAATTGTTATTTAAAATCACTTACATTGTCTTTAACAATTTTCATTTTTTTCTTTTGGTAAGTTTCTTGTGCCCAAGCTTCTACAACGCCCGCGTCATCTGCGATGATAATGTTGTCAAAGTAAATATCTTTGGACATCGACCACAGTTCAAAACCAACAGCAGCAATGCTTTGCATTTTAAACGGTTCCTTATCCTCATAAAAATCAGGATTTGGAATCTTCCTTGGCCTCCATTTCCCTTTGTAATTGGGGTTATCTATTAGGGGTGCTCTCCATTTTCCTCTGTATTCTGGATTATCGATAAGGGGGGGTTCCCATTTGCCACAACCTAATCGAATTGAATTATTTTAATGTAAATAATTAAATGTTTTAAGTACTCTTTACTTACCTGGTGCCTCAGTACAAGCAGGATTTTCAATAAGAGGAGGCTCCCACTCTCCATCCATTTCTGTGTCCCAATCATCAGGCTTCTTTGCATTAGGATCAGGAATAAATTTCTCTTCATCTTCCAGCCAACCATCAGGAATAGTTGCAGATTCATCTATTATTTGAGCAGGTGCACTTTCATCCCAATCATCTGGCTTGACAGCTTCTGGATCAGGAATCTTTTCCCTTTCATCCCAATCTTCTGGTTTCTTATCATTTGGATCATCAATTTCTTTTGGAGGATTTACAGGTGGTTCAAAGTCTTCCAATAAACTACCAGAATTCACCACATTCCCATCAATTCTTACTTCGAACCTGTTGTCAGGTTGAATAGTTAATGTATAAAGATGGGGCAATTTATCTGAATAGATGTCTTCAAGACGTTCTTGGGGTTTTTTACAGTGCTTTTCTTCAACAGAACCATTCAAAGGATTCTTATGCTTAAAGATAAAATGTAATTTGTGATCACTGCCACATTTGTCAGGACCAAACATAATAGAGTAAGGAGATTTGTCATGGAAGTTTGCCAGTGATTTTTTATCTTCTAAATTACTCAGAAGCTTAAGATAAGCCCCACCACAGTCCTGGCCATCTTGTAAAATTACTTCATATTGGACAATTAATGGTTTATCTTTAAATACAAAAGGTTTGTCCAACAGGGATGATATAGCTGCATGTTTAGCTTTTGATTTCAAAACAAGGCCACTATCACCTATAATATACAATTTAAGGAGTAAATAGGAGGGACTTAGGATTAAATATAGTATAAGTTAAAATTTACCAATTAAGGCATCTCGTTGTGCTGGTTCAACATTCCATTCTCCATCATATTTAGCTATATCTTCAGAAATACCTTCCTTTTTGGCTTGTGATTTGATCCACTTTTTAGCAAAATGAGATGGATTATCAAAATGTTCTGCAAAATATATCTTACTAGGGTCAGTGGGGATTGGACTCTTGTAAGGAATATCTACAGTTTCAGGGTCTTCTACTTCAACTGTGGCTTCATCCTATTAATGGGATTATTCAATTAAGTTAACAAATATGATGATATCAGAAGTTATAACTTACCAAATCATCAATATCATCGGCCACTACCACTAAATTTGAGATTATTACAGAAACATACAGTAATAATATTATTTTTAGATTCATTCTTGCTCTTCCAAACTTACATACAATGACCTAAAAATTGTAAAAAAAAGTAGCATTATCTACAGAATTATTTGCACAATGTTGATAATAAAGATAAACAACATTATTTAAGCAATTAAAATTGAAAAAAAGAGGTGCAGCCCAACTTACTAGAAATTTTTAACCTCAATTTCTGAGGTGTCCACCTAAAGCGTACTTTAATTTATTTTCGTTAACATTCAGTGGTGTATTGAGAGCGTATTGTAAATTTTTTATTCACAAAGGAAAGTCCAAAACCGTTTATTTTTACTTAATTACACATAACACTGCTGCAACGTCAACCGACACAAATTAATTATAAAAAATGAGGTATATGACTGTATATGACAACGTCAGAACGTCATAGCCTTAGCCATTTGGACGCATCTGATTGGTGAAATCTATTAGCGCAGTTAGGAAGTAGAGGGGATTCACTGAACAGTTTAATTTTTTAAATTAAATTACTTCCAAAATTATCCACTCTTTTTAATTAATTGTATATTAGAGAAAAATGGTTTAAAAACTACCACATTCTGAGTTAATTTAATAAAAATTAAAAGGAATAATTAATAAAAAGGGGAAATGTAAAAATTTTTAAA